GGTATTCACAAAAAACCATGATAGATTTACCATAAATAGTACATAAGTAATCAGAACATACTACTAGAGAAGAAGATTGTAAGAGGGACAAAATAAGAAGGAAAATACAGGAAAACATGGATCAAAATGAAATTAATAGGGCCCAGTGCGGTGGCCTAGCAGCTAAAGTCCTAGCCTTGCATGTGCCAAAATCCCATATGGGCGCCGGTTCTAATCCCAGTGGCCCCGCTTCCCATCCAGCGCCCTGCTTATAGTCTGGGAAAACAGTTGAGGACAGCCCAAAGCCTTGGGACCCTGTATCCATGTGGGAGACCTGGAAGAAGCTCCTGGCTTCAGATCGGCTCAGCTCTGGCTGCTGTGGCCACTTGGGGAATGAGTCACTGGACGGAAGATCTTCCTCTCTGTCTCTCCTCCTATCTGTATATCTGCCTTTCCAATAAAAATAAATAAACAAATCTTTAAAATTGGCAATAGTAGGATGTTACCTACCAATAATTACCTTTAACATGTATTGATTGCCATTATTTTGGTTTACTTTGCTCACTGTGTTACAGAGAAGGCAAACTATATCCTTTGTATAAAAACTCACTATTCTGTCTTTCACACAAAAATAAGTAAATCTTAAGAAAGCAGTGGTAGCCATACCTCTATCTGGTAAAATATTTTTTAAATCAAATGCAGTAAAAAAGAAAAGGGGTCATTATATAGTAATTGGGATTCAGTGTAGAAAGAGGAAATAATATGCCCCAATACCTGAGTATTCAAATGCATAAAGTATTAATACAACTAAAGGTAAAGATGGAAACAGATTATTCAGATAAAAATTTTTTAAAAAAAGGCAGCAGAGTTAATAGCATCCTATGGTATCCTAAATAACATCCTAGGTCATTGCGCCTAACATATCTATAAATTTTCTTCAGCTAGAGAACACATACCCTTCTCAAAACAAACGGAATATGTTCCAGATTATCGGGTAGGTCTAAAAAAAGTCTCAAATGTAAAGCAAAAACCTACATCACACTATCTTTTCCGAAAATACTATAATAAATTAACAAAAATATTAGGAATTGCATAGCTTCAAGGAAATCATAAAGCGTATGTGTAAGAAATTGAGGAAATTAGAGAACTGAGAATGGGAACAGTTAAAGTATTACTGGAAATATATAGTAGTCAATAGTTTCATCAAAAAAGCATATCTGTCTCAGTTTTAGCACTGCATCAAAAGGCAGTGCTGGAAAAATAAAAACATTAAATCCAGGTCTAGAAGGAATACAGTAATAAAATTCAGACCACAAAAACGAATGACAGAAACTAAAAAGTGACACAAAAAGAGCAATGAAACAAACAGCTGGTAGTTTGAACGGAGAAAATTGACAATTCATTAGCTACACTAAGAAACATACAAGATTCAGATTTTTAAAAAGATATATTTGTATATGACTTTCTAATAAAAAATAATAAAAGAGGAGGAGAGAAAGATGATCTTCCGTTCACTGACTCATTCCCCAAGTGCTGCAACAGCCAGAGCTGAGCCGATCTGAAGCCAGGAGCTTCTTCCAGGTCTCCCACGTGGATATAGGATGTCAAGGCCCTGGGCTTTCCTCAACTGTTTTCCCAAGCCACAAGCGGGGAGCTGGAAGGGAAGCGAGGCTGCTGGGACATGGACAGTGCAAGGTGAGGAATTTAACCACTAGGCTACCATGCTGGGCCCAAGATAGAGATTCTATGGCTGATATCACAGTAATGCAAAGGTTTTATGGATTAATGTGAAGCTATATGATAGTAGATAATGTAGATGAAATATATAAATTCCAGTTCACATAAACCTTATCAAGTTTAAATCATGAAGAACGGAAACAGTTAGGCATAGCAGTAATGACCAGCAAGAATGAATTGGTAATAAACAGTCACCCAGAGGAAAGCTCAGGCCAGATGGTTTCACCACAGAATTCTAACAAATTAACATCAATTTGTAATTAACATCAATCCTTCTCAAATTATTTCAATAATTAGGAGGAGGAATTTTTTTCAGGCTCATTCTATGAGGCTGGTATGTCCTTGGTACCAAAAACAGGTGAGAAAAGGAATCATAGACCAATATCCTTGATGAAACACCAATGGCAAGTATCTGAAACAGCAACATTTCTGTCCCTCCCATGAGTAACCTTGATTGAATTTCGGGCTCCGGCCGGTAGTTTAGCCTAGTCCCACTGCAGACATTTGCTGGAATGGACCTGTGATGGGAGCCATCCCCTTCTCTTCCTCTCAGAGTAAAGAAAAGTAAAATACTAGTTGATGTAATCCAACAGCAGGGTAAAAGGTTACTCACCGTCATGCAGTTAGACTCTTCCCAGGGATGCAAGGATGGTTCAAGCTACTGAAATCAACAAACACGTACATGGGCACCAGCAAGGAGTTAGAACTGTGAGAACTGAAACATGACCGTACTCTGATATGGCATGGAAACATTATATTGCTAGGCCACTCACTCATCCCAAGCTTGCTGGTTATTTCTTAAAGACATTTTTACCTGTGGTATATCACATCAGTGGGATAAAAGTCAAACGACTATCTTGACAGATGCAGAACAGGCATTTGATAAAATTCAATAACCCAGTGGTTAAAAACTCTAAACAAATTAGATATAGAAAGAACCTAACACAATGGATGCTAAATATTACAAATAAGCCAGTAACATAATAAATGGAGATAAGCCGAGACACTGTGTCTAAGATCTGGAGTAAGCGAGGGCTCTGTCATGGATTTTATTCACCCTAGTACTAGAAGTCCTGACCAGAAAAGGAAATTAAGGCCATCAAAATTGGAAAATTATCACTGTTTGCAGATGGCATGTTCTTGTATGTATACAGAGAGCCAAGACTCCACCAAAAATGTGTGAGACTAGATTCAACAAAGCAGGAAACAAAGTTAGCAGGCAAAAATGTGTGGCATTGTACAGCAATAACAAATCACATGAGAAATGAATCAAGCCTGCTGTCCCATTTGAAATAAGCAACCAAGCAAGCATTCAGATAAAGAAAAACAACAACCTTGAAGTAATTTAACTAGAGGGGAAAGATATTTATGATAAAACCATAAATCACAGGCAAAAGAAATTGAAGATACAAGGCAATAGGAAGGCATCCTGTGCTAATGAAATTGTAAGGATAAGTATTGTTACAGTGTCTGTATCACCCAACGTGATTCACGGACCTAATGCAATCTCTAATGAAAAGATGCTTGTCATTTTGTCACAGAACTAGGAAAAAAAAACACAACACCATTGAAGTTTTTTTGGTACCACAAAAGATTTCAAGCAGTCAATGCAATTTTGAGTGAAATTAGCAACTGTAATATTGCATGCCTTGTAGATATTACAAAGCTATAGTAGTTAAAATGGCATACTATTGGAAGAAAAATAGAGACGTGAACTAGTGGAGCACAGTGGAGACCACAGAACTCATCTGTGACAAAGGTGCTATGGACTTAAGTTGTAAATGGAAGTTTTTTTTTCTCATAAATACATGTGAAAGAATGAAATTAGATGCCTATTGCTTACTATGCGCACACACAAAAAAATCAACTAAAAATTGAATGATGATCTAAATTTAAGACCTGAAAATTTGAAACCAAGACAGAAAACAGGGCAAATGCTTCAGGAATTAGTTTTTGGATCAGACTCTGAAAGCACAGACAACAAAAGCTGAAGGGCAATTTTATCCAACTAACAAACTTTGCATAACAAAAGAAACAGCTCAGAAAGGGACAGCAACAGCATGGGAAATAAAAACTTCAAACCATACATCTGACAAAGGGTTAACATTCAGAAATATATGTATTTATATATATTTATAAATATATAAATAATGTCAACTGAGGAGGAAGAAAGCAGAAAACTGAGTTGAAAGATGGGTTGAGATGATAGCTTTCTTCATATCTCCTTTGCTATTAAAGAACTGGGGTGCTGTTCTGTGCTTCCTAGGCTTATAATACAGATCATTTGATTGGTTGATTGCGGTGAGGATGGTGAGGTAAGGAGAACAGCTGGATCCATAGATGAGCTCAGTCTAGAATATCCACATGTAGGAGTGAGTGCTTCTAACTCAAGTGATTAATTTTGAGTGGTTTTCCACTCACCGGAAAGGTAGGTAGGACAAATGCCATGTGTGATGGAAGCCTTTCCTGACCTTAATGTTTGCTGTTAATACAGCATCACACGCAATTCTGCAATGCCAACATCTACTACTGTAACGTCCAAGCAAAGATGACGACATTAGCAGTAACTTACACTTTCTGAGAGTATCTCGACTGGCTCAAAGTTAGCAAAGCCTTCCATATGGATCATTCTTTTTCTTCTTTACATCTTGAGATGAAGGGCCATTAAATAAATATTTTTTCCTTTAAAATAAATAGCAAATACACATTGAAGAGGGAAAGGATGAGAGATGCAGTGGCAGAGAGGTTCACTTTGCACTTGGCTACAGCCCAGGCTGTGTCAGGCTGAAGCAAAGAGCCACACAATCAAACTGGGTCTTCTCTAAGAGTGATAGGTTTCAAGAGCTTGGACTATAATTTGCTGCCTCTCCCAGAGCAGTAACAGGAAGCTGGCAAGGAAGTGGAGCAGCAGGGATTCAAACCAGCCAAAAGCTGGAAACAACCAGGCCTCAGGATCAACTTTTTAAATGAAGAAATAGAACCTAATTAAGTTATTTAACTAGCCTAAAATCATTTAAACATTCAGAAATTAACATGGGCAGACTAAATAGGTAGGCTGGACCGAACTCTCCCTGGCTATATTATAGCTGGGTAAATCAACTTCCAAAGAGAAATATTTCATCTTGTTAAGTAGTGAATGGATTCTTTAAATTTACTTACACTGAAATAAGTCCTGTCAGCAGCCTCTGAAGGCATTGCAGTAATTAATCTCTTTTGACCTTCACTTTGTCCACATGTAAAGGAACAAACACTATCACAAATGTGTCTTGACCTTTGTTTTGCAGCTTCCATCGTGGTTCAGAAATGGTGGTGTCACATGAATCCTTGTTTGGAAGGAGAGGACTGTAAAGTGTTGCCAGATTACTCAGGTTGGTCCTGTAGCAGTGGCAATAAAGTCAAAACTACCAAGGCAAGTATAGACAAAGTGCAACTCTACTCTCTGACTCCAGCACGCTGTGAAATTGAGGGTGTATGCCATGGTCTTCTCTGCCCTCTGTGACCATTATTATTTGATACTGCTAAACCAGCATAGCCAGTGCCACCTGATGCCTTTGGCCTTTTAGAAAAAGCCCACTCACCAGCATCACCCTTGGCATCAGGTGGGAGGGGCAGAGCACTCCTTTTTGGTAGAGCTTCTTCAAATCTCTTTCGCAGGAAAGGTTTCAGAGTTGATGAGCTGGTGTTTCAAAATACCATGATAGAACCCACAAACGCACGGTTTAGTACAGTGGAAGTATGTGCTGCCTTAAGGAAGAGGTCATCATTGGTGACTCTGCATCAAGTGCAAAAAGGTTCACCATTCCTTCCTCCCAAGGTCCTCCCTCCAGTTACCCCTGTTCTGCAGAGGACTGCTCTGTACTCACTGCCAGTGAGATTCTCCACAAGAAACCTCACGTCGGATCTCCTCATTGCTTTCTTGAGTCCTTTGTCTTTGGGGTAGATTTTTCTTTAATTTAGCTAAATAGAACCAATTTAGTGTACTTCATATATTCAATTTCAAGCACATAATACTTCTGACCTTCCTTCCTTTGCTTTTTCTTTCAATTTTTTGGATATCATACTTTCAGTTTACTTCATCTTCGTATGTATAAGGCTAGAAACAATAGCCCAATTCAGTTTTACTCATTTGCATTGCATTTTTTGGGTTCTTTTATTTGCTAACACAAATCAGGAAACATTTGCTGTTGGGATTTTTCTTTTATCATAATGGTCTCCTGTTTATGAATTTTTGTTTCAAAAATAGGATTTCTTTTTTTTATGGCTAAGAAGTATTCCCTCATGTACATAGCAGTTTTTTTTTTTTTTTAATCTAGTGATGCATCCAGTTTAGTGGAAGAGCATCTGAGTCAATTCTGTGCCTTAGCTATTGTGAATTGTGCTACTATAAATCTGGGGTATATACCACTGTTTCATATGCTGATTTCACTTCTTGTGGAACAGTTCCCAAAGCAGGATGCTTGGCTGTTATGGAAGATCTCCATCCTTACAGCCCCTGTCCAATCCACTATCTGGATTCCTAATGTTGTCTCTTCTGGCCTAGATTCCATACAGCCCATCTAATAGTAATTGTGAAATGACATTTTCTAACCTAGGTCCATCCTTGGCCTGTTTGACTCTTAGCAACCACTCTGGCCAGCCAAGCTTCCATCATTTCTGCTCCGGACAGTGGGGCCTTCTGTTAGTACCTGTTTCCTATGTGCTGTGTAGTGGTTGTTCCCTCCTCAGGGAATATGTTTCTCTCCCTTCTTCCCACATCAATCCTTGTTTCTTTAGGGACTGTTATCCTGGTTGGATTTCTATCATTGCATTGGATTTCTATCATTGCATGGATGGCTGTACTGAATACTCTGAACTTCCTAACGAAAGCTGTGAAGTTGGGTCCCCTGTTTACTCTTGCTTACCTTGGTAGTCATAACCAGCTGGATGCTCTAACAAATGTTTCTTTGAAGAAAATTCATACAACAAAGGCCATTCTGCTATTGTAAGTCACTTATGGCGGAATGACTGCAACTGGTTGATGTCTGAGCCTTGGCTCCTTATGGAATATAATACAGAGTGACTGGCTTCTTACTTCTGCATTTTCCATCTTAAGGATGCTTTGCATTAAGTTACTAAACACACTTCTCATCTGCCTTTAATCACTGAGGTCAAATGCAGGTTACTTTTGCTAAACATGTACTTAAGCTATAAAAACAATAGAATTGTACTGATAGTTAAAAAATTACATTTAAAATGTAAATCAAGATTTAATAAATGTCAGATTAGATGAGAACTTGAGCTTGTATCCAGAATTCCAACAAAACAGCAAGTTATTTGATTAGTTCTTTATCATTTACTTAAAATTGTACTTGCAAAATCAAGGCTGTTTTAAAAAACTACGTGGGATTATCAACTGACTTGTCTTTATTAGTGAGATTGAAGAGAGTGGACCCCAGACATGACTTACATTCAGTCTACATAATTGTAGCTGTGGGTTTAATCACTGTTGAGCATGCACATACTTTTTGGGATCATTATTCTCTAGGCAAAACATTTGAGTATTTACAAAGTATTTATATTGCATTATGTTTTAAAAGTTACGAGAAGGATGCGTGGAGTTTCCATTTTACTTGAGAAGCTTGAACACCCAGAGATTTGGGTGGCAGTAGGAATGCCCTGAGATGGCAAGAGATGACTGCATGGTTTTATACCCATGGAGTCCTCGGTTGCATGAACAAGGGGGAGACAATTCTCCTTCAAGTCATTCCTACGAAACTCCCAAGCTTTATAAATTCACAGCAAACCCGCCAGTAAGAGAATTCTACAGTTCTTCCCTAAACTTGCTTTAGCCATTTTCCCTGCAGTAATTTATAACTAAAAATCTTGCAGTTGCTGGTAATGTGTTAGGGTCAGGGATGAAAATAGCATTTCTGGTAGTCTCTGGAATGGCATTTTAGAAGATTAATATTTTTGTTGTTTCACATATAAAACAAGACCACAAGCAGTAGCCAGCTGTGTTCAGGAAGACCGTTCCTATGCCACTATCCTCATAAAACTACTCTCCATCCTTCTCTCTCGATGTGCAGTTAGGGCATTTACGGGAAGAAAACCTTCAGGGGCATTTTGGCTCCATGGGCTGGGAATAGAAGTTTGCTCTAGCTAAATCCTCAATGGAAGTGACATTTCATTTAGCACTTTCAAAAGTTGTAGACATATAATACAGTTCCCCAAGCTATCATCATACTTGGGTTGCCTTTTTTTTTTTAAAGCGATACACCATCTGAGAATAATCTCCAAGTCATAAAACTTTGTTTCTTTTATTAATTCAAGCCAGTGTGACTTGAACTGCATAAAACATTTTATGTCTTTTATGGATCTTATGTACATGGAGTACATTTATATTTGGGCCTGAGACCAGCTTCCCTGTGGGCCTTGTGCTCCCAGAAGCTATGTCTTTTCTCCAGATACTACTGACCTTATACCACCACTGGAACAAGGATCCTATAAAGGCAGAGAAGTTGGTTCCCTAGGGGAGATGGTTACTGAATAACAAAATAGTTTCCATTTTTCCTTAAACAGTTCATGCTCAGTGATGCCAACACACAGCAAGGATAAAAAGTCAGGTTTCCTGCAGAAAATCACCTAGGTTAATTTTTTCCCTCTGCATTTAAATGCAAATATGAGGCAGTCAAATTGAGACATCAGTGGTCTCAGATGAATAGATGAAAATATGAGAAGGGACAATTCCCAAACGAGTCATCTTTGTCGGGTGTAAAAGATTGGCATCAAGTTTATTCTGCCTATATAGTTTCCATTGTCTCCAGAGAGGCTTTGGCTATGACTTCTTGTAGAAAAAATGTAATTCTGTCATCCTGCCTCAATCTTTCTTTCCTTAATTTATTGCTGAGACTTGCTGCATTCTCCATGTTGAACAGTCCCTCCCTATTTCAAGATGCCAGTTAAATCTTCAATCAGGTACACAGTGTTTTAGCACAAAAGCCTAACATTAGCCAGCAGAAAAGCACATTGAATTTCAGATGAAATATTTTAGACTTCTTACTGCTCTTATTTTCAAAGCGTCTACAAAGGCCAAAGAACTATGTCCTCAGGACACGAGTTCTCAACCAAGGACAGCTCTGTCTCTGAATGGGCTTCTGGCAATTCTAGAGGCTCTCTTTGCCTGTGATGTGCTAGGCAGTGCTGCTACTGGTGTCTGATGGGTAGAGCCCAGAGTTGTTGCTTCCTGTACTACAAAGCAGGCTACTCCCTCACAATCCAGAGGCCTGTGACTTTAAACACCAGTATTGAAAGGCTGCTTTGTAGGATAGTATGCATTTTTCTCAACAGCTATTTGCAAGCTTCCTGATTCTTTTACTACATTTTGATCTCCAAGTTTTCCATTACATGCCTAAAAATTCCATCGGACAGGAAATCTCAAGAATGGAAGCAACAGTTTTCCCTACAGCACCTCCCTTATTGTCCACATCTAAGATGACCGGGTCCAAGAGAGCCATGGCTCTCTTGGGACTGGCTTTGTGGTGTAGCAGGTGAGGTGGCTGCTTGGGATATCTGCATCTCCTGCAGGATTACTGGTTCAAGTCTTGACTCTTTCCTCTTCCATCTTTCTGTTAAACCAGCCTTACCTCTGAGGATGCATTAAGTGCCCATGCACCTGCCATCCATGTGGGAGATCTGATTGGAGTGCCAGGCTCCTGACTATGACCTTCCTGGCTCAGCCCTGAGTATTTCAGGCATTTAGCAAGTGATTCAGAAGAAAACAAACCTCGGTTTCTTTCTTGGTTTTCCTTGCATGTAGATATAAACTTTAAAATGTTTCAAACATTGCTCCCTCATGGATAAGATTCTCTCTGCTTCTTGGGCAACCACTCTGGGTTATTATCAGTGTCTTCATTTAATATACAGCTACAGAACAGTCACATTGGGAGCTTGTCAAACAGTGTTGAACCCTATGTTTAGGATATTCTGGTATAATATGGGTAGGTCTGGGGTGATTATAATTAGTGGGCAAGATGAAGGAATTGCTTATCTAACTGAGCTCCCCACTGTTTTTCTTTTTTTTTTTTGGCTTAAATTCTACCTTCTCCGCCAGTTGGAAAAAGTCCCCTGCTCGAAGTCCTTGCTGGGAGACCTTCATACATACAGTATAGACATAGATACGTAGAGTATGTCATCACAAATTGACCTTCACTGATAGCTATTATCTTAACCATGTGTGTCTTTAGGACACTGCTTTCTTGTTCCTTTACTTCACTCAAAACACCACCTTTTAGAGTCCAGTCTTCTCTGATGCCTAGAGTTTGGGGTTTTCTGATGCCTGGGAGTGAACACTGACACACTAGTAACCCTTTTACCCATCAAAACAATAGCAATGATTCTTCCATAGACAATCAGCACAGCATAATTATAAAGAAAAGTAATTCTGAACCTGTGTTATTTTTCTAAAGGGAGCAAGGCATGGGAATGAGCTACCTCAAGTAAAAAGCTTTTGAAAATCATATCCTAGATATAGATTGGTACTTGGTTTGATTACTTTTAGGTTATCTACAGATACAGGATAGATTCAGAAAGAGCTAATATGATGACAGCCCACCATTTCTGAGTGCTCACTGTGTGATGGGCCCTGGACCTGGCAGTTCAGTTCTCTTTGACAATTTCTTTCACTCTTCACTATCACTCAGCCTGCAAAGGACTTCTACCTCCATTTCACAGGTGAAGAAACTGAGGCAAACTGAGACAATATACCCGGCTGACTCCATTGTCCAGCTGCCCAAAGCAAAGACCCAGGGCATTTCTCGATTCCTCTTTTTCCTCACACCTTCATTCACATTTGTCCCAACATGACGGTTTCACCATTTTGTCCCAATGTGATCTTTTAAGTTGATGGTGCAAGGGACATCAAAGGCCATGGTCAGTGTGTTGGCTTTAGGCTCTGTTGCACCTCCCTCCCCTTACAAAGTCCTACCCCCACTCACTCAGGCCTCTCCTTCTTCCTCCAACCACTGCCTCGAATGTTACCTTCCCTATAGTCCTGTGGAGGAGAGGAGCCCTCCTCCTTCCCTGCCTCAGTATTGCTTTTTCTCCATTCTTCCACCGTGAGCTTAGCATGGATTTTTACATATTTTAATGATTGGAAGAAATCCAAAGGAGAATAGCTCATAGTGCGTGTATCTCTCAAACATTATTGGAACAAAGCAACACCCATTTGTGTCTCTGTGGCTTCTGCTCTTGTGAGTGATGAGCAGAATTCTTGCTGCTGCTGTCACTGTAAGGGCTGCCAAGCAGCAGATTCCTACTATATTTAGTCTTTCATGCAAAGGTTTATAGGCTTTGCGCTAGAATGTGAGGACAGAATTTGTTTGTGTTTGCTGTGGCATTCCCAGCATAAATCAGAGAGCAATTATATTGTGTAAGTTCAGTTCATGTCAGTTCACAGTGAAGGTGACATTTGAATAAATACCCAGTTGGGTTTAAAGGCTAGTCAGGATAACAGTGCTATCAAATATAATTTACTTTGAAAAAAATTTTTTTATAGTATGGAACTACTGAAGTATTTTTTTTTCCCAAGCTGCTTTATGGACTTGGAAAACCTGAAAAACTTTTCACATGACAAAATGGAGTTACAGAAATGGCTATCCTATTGTTTCTGGTCTTAAGTAATGAGTCTTAAGATTGAAAAATATAAGATGAAATAATTACCTTCTTAATGGATGTATGTTTCCATTAAATATAGTAGTTTCATAAAATAACCTGTTGTTAAAAGTGGAGGTAACTGTATTCACAAAGAAGGGTAATATTTAATCAGCATTTCGAAATGGCTAGGGCCATTAACAAAGTGTGGTAAGCAGCTGTGAAGCTAACCGGATGGGGTTTCTGTGTCCTTAGAGAATACAAAGTCGGGTGCAAAATATTGTTTATAGTAGCTTTTGTGCAAATAGGCTTTGTACTCAAGGCACAAAATGTCAAGAAATTGGATCTAATTCATGTGGAAGAGGGGGGCATATAGAGATATAAGCTGATAAAACCTACACAAATAGCACAGTCCAAGCAGCATAGCTTTGCCCAGTGTGGTGTGTCTAATGCTCACCTATGTCTTTGTTTTAGGTGACACGGTAGCAAAGCCGGGGAGTGCCTCACTCCTGGAGGAGCAGCGGGAGGCAGAGCTCTATCCCTTGGGTTCCTCCCCTGGCTGCTTGCCGGCGACTGTCTTGGATTTCAGCAACCTCGCATGGTGTGTTGTGCAGCGTTCACCAAATTACCCAGACCTCTCTGCTTCATGACTTTGTTACACTGAAGCACAGCCACGGGCCGTGGCATAATCGACGTCATGTTTGGATTCTGAAAGAACAAGCCTGCAAACATCCAGGAGGAACAAATCCGAGACATGAAAATGGATCACTACTTCAGAGACATTTGCCCTTCAGTTTGTTTTTTAAGGAACTGTGATCATGTGTTTCCAAGGGTCTAAATTCTGTTCCTGTTTTGATCCTTTTCTTTAGTCAATACAATTAAAGTGGTTTAAAAGGGGTCTCAATAACAAAAGCTTTGGGCAAAACAGATTTGCTAGTGTTAAGAAAGTTTGATGAACTGGTTATAGAATTTATTGGATTATTATGTTTACATTTGTGTCTTTACTTTTTTTAAAACTTTATTATTATTATCATTTTATGATATAGTTCTACAGGCCCTGGGATTTCCCTTACTCCCTTCCCAAGCTCCCTCTCCCCCCGACCAGAGTTTCCCTGTATTACTACTATAGTCATTGTGGGCATGGACAATGGCAAAGAGTCCAGCATCCTATTATCAAGATACAGTTTCATTGGGAGTCCATCTTTGATCTGGAAGTAGAGCTACATACTGCATTGTTTCCTCCCATCTGGAAAGGATATCTTGATAATATGAAATGTCTGTCTTTCAAGTTTCAGTGGTAGGTAAGCAGAAACAAAATAACGGCATTTCAGTACACTGTTTATTTCATCTAGAGCTTTGGTTATAAAACATTAGAGTAACCAAGAAATGAATTTTTTGGGGATTTTATGGCTCATGGGTAGTCAGAGAGGTAAGTTACCTAAAAAATAGGCTATTTATGTCAAATGACTTATAAAATCTGGTCTATGCCATTTGTGCAAGAATATTTTGTTAAATTTAAATCTTTAAATCTGAATTGTCAGACTGAACACAATTTCCTCCTAACTTCCTCTGCTGTTTTTGGGGAGGGGGGTCATTTTATTTCATTAAATGTAGGTGAAAATCTGAGTCATTCTTTTCTCACTTCAACGGTTTTGCAGTAGACTGTTCTCAGATGCTGTCCCACAAAACCAGGTGAGACAAATGAATGACTAGCCCACATTTTAACATACATACCACCACTAAAATGAGATGGAATGGCTTTTAGATCTTAAAAATGCCCAAAGCATACATTCTATATTACCTTAATTATTCCTATTCTTTTACAATTATGTTTGGGGAGATAGGACTGGACACAGAATGTTGTGATGGTGGTGACAATGATTTTAGTCATGCAAAGAGAATGAGCATACCTGATATGCATTTGTGAAATTCTGTTTCAGTCTGCCTGACTTAGGAGCCTCCTGGATTTGTTACTGTCATATTAATAAGTAAAGAAAACCATTCTGCTACTGGCATGGACGTTTCTGTGTTTATTTTATGCCTAAAGACTTGGTGCTAACATCCTGGGCTTTTTAGACTTTTTAGAAAATAATACATAACTTTGGAGTTGTGATCCTATAGCCAAGTTGGCACGTACACTTGTTTTTTCTCCCATCTCTAGCTAGCATTAAGGTGAATACAAAATATGGCGAGATTCAGTTAAGCTTTGACACATTGATATTTTATGCATACTCTCTTACCTTTAGTATAAATCCTACTGTAAGCATCGAGTTTAAACATATATACATGTAATGCAATTTTGTGACATGAAACAACGCCTTAGGATTTCTTTTTTTGGGGGCTCACACATTTACTTTTGCCCCCAAAATAAGATCAAGTAACAATGACACCACTTCACCGTCAGGTGCATTTCTAGGGAGTGAGCTACTTGCAGGAATAAATGGTCCATTTGGGAAAATGGTAAGCCTCGAAGCTGCCATTTCATCCATTATTGCTTCAAAGAGTGCTTTTTACCTAGAGCCAAAGTGAGCCTTGATGTGGGGCTTTCTCTGAGAAGCATTTCAATGTTTTTATTCCTATTCCTTTCCTGTAGGAAGGCAGGTAGGAGACAATTTTGCTGTATTTTCACAGAATTTGAAACAAGGCTACCTCAGGAGTTGTGAGGGAACAGGTCCACAGTGGGTCCTGCGACCTTGGCGCGTGCGCTCTCCACCCTTGCAAGGCCTTTGATGCTTCTGTCTTCATGCACAGCTATCCACCAAGCTCCAGGTGCGACCTAGGTCTTTTTGAAGAAACCAGAAACACCCCGATATCCTAACTCCCTCACGTCCAAACGGACTGCTCCAATTCTACACACTTTTTTTTTTGTTGTTGCCTGCCCTTGGAAAGGTGGAACTCTATTTATCTGCTGAATTCAGCCAACACCGAATGAATCTCCAAAAGTCCCTGAGTTACTGATGAAATTGTCTATCCTCTTACAAACAAGTCATCTTTCATTTCTACTGCTTGACAGACCTTTATGAATATTCCTGTTTCATAAGAGGAGAATTTAAGAGTTGGTAGAATTCAGATTGCTTCTATATTCACCCAGCTAATGACTTCGGCAGAGTATCAAAGGAGGATTGTGACAGAGCATAAGACATTGTTATTTTTCTTAGAGGAATTTTTAAACAAGATGTAGTATTTGCGAATGAAGTAATTATAAAGTTCAAAGCTTTTACCCGTGGACTTGGAGGATAAGAAGTCCAAGCCCATCACTCTAGGCATGGTGAGGGATGGCAGAAGGTGACAGGACAGTAGGTAGGTGTGGAAGAGACAAAGAACAAAGCATAGATGGGCTGTACAACCACCTGCTGTTGTTAACACTGCAGTCTTTTCAAGAGACAGTTCACCTCTTGAGAAAGGCTTTAATCCCTTTTAATGATCTCAGCACCTTTTAGAGGGCTCCCTCCTGGTGCCACAATATGGAGAATTCTTTTTTTTTTTAAGACTTATTTTATTTTTATTGGAAAGGCGGATATACAGAGAGGAGAGACAGAGGAAGATCTTCCGTCCAATGATTCACTACCCAAGTGAGCACAACGGCCGATGCTATGCCAATCCGAAGCCAGGAGCCTCTTCTGGGTCTCTCACGCGGGTGCAGGGTCCCAAAGCTTTGGGCCGTCCTCGACTGCTTTCCCAGGCCACAAGCGGGGAGCTGGATGGGAAGAGGGGCCACCGGGATTAGAACCGGCGCCCATATGGGATCCCGGGGTGTGCAAGGTGAGGACCTTAACCACTGCGCCACCGTGCCGGGCCCAATATGGAGAATTCTAACAAGAATTTTAAAGGGGGCGTCTGATAGCATCCTGACAGGAATTTAAAGAATTCTGGATCCTAAAACTCAGCATGGCGACTAGCACATAAACTTTTCCTAAGATTGAGCATCTTTGAGTTATTTGTATTCTAAGTAGTCACTTCATACAAGAGAACCCAGGAGCCCTGTTTAGAATGGAGGCTAAAGGTTTAAATGGATGCAGCAAGCAGACCATTTCGAACAGGTAAGAGGAAATCTTAAAGTCTTCCCCACCCCACCCCCTCGTGTCCAAGTCTGTTAGAATTTTAAGTAAAGGAAGGGCACATTTGGAAAACAACTCAAAAAACCCTGCTTGACAATGACCTTGGCTGTCCGTCTGGCAGAATACTGAAAACCTTGCGCTTCACAGACAGGCAAATGCCTTGGCATGCACACCTGTTTGGTGGGCATCAGACCACCACTGGAAAGAAAGATGTAGCACCCAGGTTGTGCTGAATCGAATATGAAAGCAGAGATGACAGACAGGACACACACAAACATCTTTCTTTGAAGTTCATCTTGTTAAAAAAAAAAAAAATTTCTCAAGCCTCCTCCAGCAGTCTTGGGAAAGGAAACAATCATTTCAAGTTACAAAGTAATCTTGTAAACAAACTCTGAACAAAAGATCCTGGTAAATAATTGATGACCAGTGACTGAAACACGTCGGCAGTCTTTGTGGTATTGACTTCTTTGGACTGTGAACGAAGCAGAGCTCCGCAGGCTCATACTTAAGTTCCTTTCTCTCCTATTTGGCGCCATCAATATTCATAGCCCACTTTGCTGTTCAGAATATAAAACGATGCATCTTTTATTTTGTTCATTTGGACTCTCGATTATTGAGGATAAGGTTTCTGACCCACCCTTTAGTTTATCAGCTTTGATTCCTTTAATGAGTTATCAAAATAGCTCAGGACACTGAATTATTAATTAAATAACTAATTAATGATCAGGAAATGGAATCTAGCAACTGAACTTTGGGGTTCTGTATTTCCAAATCAGAAATCCTATTCTGGGTGGTTTACTTTTCTTCTCTGAGTTTCTCTGTTCCCTTTTTGAATTTCATTGTGCCCCTTGTTTTGTTACATATATGAAGTATAACATCTAGTGTTACGTAGGCCACTCATAGACAAAGGAAATTCACCCATGTCCTGTCTTAGCATTTCAACAACTTAAATGAAAACAAAGAATAATCCATAATTTTTCTTTGACAAGGTCTCTCTCACACAAATCAATAGAGTGGAATACTTAGGTCAGTTTACTGGGGCCATGGCTTGAAATAGGAATCAGGACAATACTTTGGAATACTTGAATATTTATGAGTGCTGTGTACCTGACAGAGAACTGAAACTGATTCTTAATGCCACAGTAAAGAAAGTAGTGTTAAACTACCGAGCCTCAGCATGCAAAAAAGTTAGTGAGAACTCTAGAAACTGTCATAGTCAGAACACTTGGTATTTGATGCTGCCATATGCTCTTTCAATCACTGTCGGCCCTGATCCACTACAAGAACATAGACGACACCTGGGAACAGAGGAGAGGATGGTTCAGAGATGCAGTGTCTGACATTCCCAAGGGAAAGGGACTTTGCCTGTAGGAAGTCAGTGCTGATGGATGGCCTGATTTGGTGATGCCAACATCCGGGTCGAGGACAGAGAGAAGGAAGGGGAAAAGGATTTGAGTGTGTTACTGAAGGCTTTTGTGTCACATCTCTTGTCTGCCAACAAGGAAAATTACACAGTTACTACAAAGGCAATTATACACAGATCAACATAGATGTAATAGTTTGATCCATGTGTATATTATTTAATACTCAAA